TACCTACAAATATCGGTGCTATTGAGGTTACGGTAAACGTTTTTGACACAATATTAAATTTTCTCTACCTAAAAGCAAAACTATTGAGTATTGACGGAATTAGATTAAACTATACATCATTCGATGCACAAGAACGTTTTCTGGCGATCTGCTTTTAGAAACACCAAAATTCTTGTGCATCAAAACACGTGGTGATTCCAACCATATCAAAATAATTGGCAAAAAATATTGTAAATTGATACTTTCCAGGCACATTTATTGCTTAAATGAGTGTACCACCTTCAAAAGCTATTATGTTTCCTTGCGTTTAAGGTAAAAAAAATCTGATTTATATCAGCAGAAAGCGAAGATCCTGAGCTACCAAATTGTGTCTCAGGTTTTTCAAATTCCTCCTCCACTTGAAACTATACCCTGTCAAAAATTGACAAACAATTCTTCTTCCCTCTCATAGCTGTATTTGGCTATAAAAGACGGACCAGAGCAAATACAAAAATTTTGAGATACACTTTGCTTACCCGACATCTGTCCTGGTCGTGTGCAAACTTTTGAGCCATTCGATTGGTTCCTTAGGTACAAAATAGCTTTTTCGTACCTGTATGTAGAGAAATTGTAAGTCCGGAGAAAATGGGATTTTACTTATTGCACTTGCAAGATACACGTGTAATCCGGGTCAAGGCACTTGAAGCTTTAAGATCAATAAGCCAGTATAAATAAACACGGCCGTACATGGATGTGCCATGCGATATTGTAAATGAGACATCCGACCACAACCGCAAAGCAACGATAATCGGCTCAACAGGTCAAGAGATTTTCAGACCTCAACTAAAAGTTTTGATAAAGAAATTATGGAAACCTTCGTTTACATCGGATTTTTTCCATTTTCAAAATGTCTGTTAGTTTCAAATTTGGCAAAATTGTGTGCCTTGAAAGTTCGGCTACTTGATTGTGAAATAATCGTAAAATGGATGTTTTTATCTAGAAAACGTTTACCGTAAGTCACGTGTGTCCAGTATATGGCTTGATACGTTAGAAATACATGAAAATAACACAAAGAAGTCAGTACCAATTGCTCTACCCTTTATCCAAAGTGGGTTAATTCGTTTTAAGCTCACGCGAAACTTTGAACACAAAACGGGAACCTCAAGAAATAGGACAATACATCTATGTGTTTGACCCTACTAAGTAAAGTACTACAGGTGAGTCCTGTTGGATTTGGGAATGACGATGCTTTGTCGAAAAATATCTTAGAAATACCAGAAAAACAAAGAACACTGATGTCTGAAAATACTAACCTCGTATTTTTAATTGTTACTGACAGTTGCTAGAATGGTCTACTATGGTTAAATTTATCGTCTTCTCTTTTTGATGGTGATTGGCTCATAATGAATGAAAGATTCCGATTGAAACTTTTTAACAAACAGTACAATCTTTTAACATGAGCCTCAAAACTGGTCCAAAGTTAAGAACAAATCTTACAAGTTTTACAACAACAATCACTTTGTTGGCAAATGAGGCCTGAACACCTCCCTAGAGTGAAAAAATTAGCAATTGCACTGCTTGCACCCTATTAATTCAAGAACAAATTGAAAACAATCCAGCTTCAGATTTTTTAAGAAATTAAGAAGAGTCGGCCGAACTTAAATCTACTTATTCTTATAAAAAAGAGTGTACGTTAAGGAGAGGAAGTTTCGGAAGAAGAACATTTCCTCAATCTATAAAGTTTACAAAAGAGAATAAATAGCAAAGGATATTTCGCGAGACTACACTTTCGTCAATATTTTAGTCCAGGAGAGTTTCTTCCCGCCAAAGTTCCTTCCCGCCAAAGTTCCTTTCCGCCAAAGTTTCTTCCCGCCAAAGTAGGCAAGTGCCTACAAATGCCTCGAAACCCTTTCGACCAACCATTTAGAAGTCATACGCCTCGCAGTGGTCTCGAACAGGAGCCAGCTTTTGAAAAGCAGACAATCGAGGAAAGCCATTAGAAGCATTGCGACTCAGTGTCAAGCTTCCTGGAGGTGGCATGTCAAACTCGCTTAGCAAAATAGTATTTATCTTGTTATCCTTATCCGCTTTGGTTGGCATAGAGATGTCTTCAGTAATGGGCTTACAGCCGAATGTGGATTGTAAAGAGCGACACGGTTCGCTCCCTATCGTGACTGAACTTGCAAGCCAATTCAGCAATGGTCACAATAACGTTCTAAGCTGTCCTGAAAGCTGTCTGGCTTTCACTAGACCCTCCCAGTCTAATTATGCGAGGAAGAGTCCGAGCTGCGAAGGGATGAGAATGTGACTGCGAAGGAGAAAGGGATATCAAAATTGGAAGCGAAGCAGAATAAAAGCGAGGGGCTAATCAATCAACGACGATCTCGTATCCCCATTGGTTGAAACCCTATTGTTTTATTTGAAAAATTCCTGGACATCCTGTTGTTTTTGTTAAAAACTATGAACGCTATTTGTAAGAGTGAAATGCCCTGCGGATGAAAGTGAAAATAGATTGAACAGTGACATAAATATATCACCAAAACAAGTGATTGTAAATTCATTGTTTGGATCATCACGTGACCCAACCATACTAGCACAAAAACTCTTCAATCAAACGCTTGGGTCTTGAGGGTAGACGTTTTTGATAGGATTTTAAAAATAATTGCTCGACAATGGTTTGCGAAAAAAAGAGCCAGGGAGTACAAAATACGGCTTGTGAAAGGATCTAACTCCAGGAATCTTCTCAAAATTTGCAAATATTTGATCACCAACTTCAAGTTTGTTAAGAAAATTTTGACACGGTTTCTCTCCCACCAGAAAATTCATCGAGTCGAAACAGCATACACATTATGACAAGGTTGACAAATGGAGTATATGAAAATTGACAAAAACAAGTCTTAATATTTCTATAATGAGTCCAATCGAGGATTAACCAACTTTAAGGTTTATTGTTGGGAATTTCTAAAAATACTCAAAGAGCTCGATAAATCTTGGATTAGCACAGGGCTTGGGAGGCCTAAGCAGAAACCAGCGTTAAAAGTACAATGCTCTTTTCAGTTGCATCCGCCCAGTCAACCGAAATTATGATTATCAACCCATGTTAATTCTAGCTTGCAATGCAAAAGAGCTAGAGAATCACAGTAAGTCAAGTTCGTGAATTCGTCACACGAAGTGCTGCTTTAAAACATATGCCTAAGAGCATAATTTAATGGTTCTGTAGGGTTTTGTCAAAGCGGAAAGAATATGATTAGAGTTGAATTAACAGTGGTGTTATACACTGAATGCTACCATTTTATTGCCACCTCTACATGAAGGGCCTGTCTGCCTCCATAGGACAAGCCTGTCTTAATGGAAAAGAAGCAAGTAGCTTTCATCCTCCTAATACGTGCGCGAAGACGTAGGAAGGCTAGCTTTCTTTTTCCAGCTCAGGAAATGCCTCTTCTCATCTAAACAAAGTGCTATTCCTCATCTTGGACTCGAAATTCCTTTTTCTTAAAAAGCAAGAAAGAAAGTCCATTTTCAAAAGATAGAAAAATTTTGAAAGAAAGCTGCAGAAAGTGTCTATGGATAAACATTCGAGAACAAAGTCTGATGAAAAGTATAAACTGAAAAAAATTAATAGAGCAGGTTGATAAAGAAGGTGGGCAATGAGCAAATGAAAATATCTTGCAAGTATGACACAATTAGATAAAACTAACAAGATATACCGCATGCTAAGTAATGTAGATCACTTTCCTCCAAAGACATAAAGTTTTCCTTCTTCAAATGACGAATCTCTGATATGTTAAATATGATACATACTATCACTAGTGACTGAGCGTAAACAAGTTTACTCCGTCAGGCGATAGCAGTTTAGAGGAAGAGGCAACGAGTATCAGCTTGATTTCGAATACAGTATCAGAGTGGTCCTTTGGTTTGATGTCAAAAGATTCATAAAAAGCAGCTCCTCGCACCAACCACTCCTCTCCGCATTCATATCTCATAAAGACATAGTCAAACCTTTATAACGCAATAGTTTCTGGAGTGTCCTAATGAGGAGATCAGTGTTTCCTAGGTTACTGACAGACCCTCAGCTCATGCATTATGAGTAAAATCCCGACATGTTCAGGAGCGGACAGACATCACTTTCCCAGGAATGTTGTTGCTGAGGGTACAGGGGCTCTTTGGGATTATTTCTGAATTTCATAAAGAATGAATTCGTATATGAGTAAAATATGTAAAATTTTCATTGAAATTTACGTTGCCAATTTCAGTAATTGGCCAGTTTAATCCCACGAGCACCATCTATTCTAAAACGACTAGCCCTTTATCAGAATTTACCCCCCTTCATTAATCAGTTTGGTGGACTTGACAAAACTTGACAATATTTATAAGATGATACCTTATGCCTTCATGGGAACACTGATGCAATAGCTTGACCATAGAACCAATGCAGATGTGAAAAGCTTCGACCAAGCTGAATGTTTTATTCTAGACATTTCATAACAATAGCAAGAACTATCGGATATTAAAGATTAAGGAAAAACTTGGATGAGATGGTCATATTAACAAATACGCATGAGGCAGCATATTTGATGTATACTGGGTAAATTCAAAATTCTTTGAAAACTCAGAAAAGCTGATTTTATCTGTCATATAACAGGTGTATTATTTACCAAAGGACATAATCTTAAAGATCACAAACTTTTCTTTAGAAGAGGTAAAAAAGGGACAATGAGTGCAGCTCAGCGAGTTACTGTATAGAAGGGTTCATTTTCCATTAAGAAAATTCAAACTGATATCTGTCTCATTTTCTAGAAAGGTGTTAAAAAACTTTATTTTTTAGATCGCAAAGTTGGGTAAAAACAAGGAATTTTGTCATCCAAAGATCACTATTCTGCTGGCACAATGAAACTCGACTTTTTGCTTTTTTATGCTCCAGAAAAACCGAACACACAAGCACAATTACCTATCCATGCCATTTCTGTTGATGGATGACATGATAATCTCCAAGGGTGTTCATTCAGAAAGCTAATTCCACATGATACTCGCTTGAAATAAAATAGAATCTCTTATTCAAATATGATTACAATCGTTAAAAAACATCAGCAGTGACATTCAAAATTTTGTGTTCCAAAAGGCAAGTTGAATAATGCGGTGGAAATGATCACTCAAAACATAGCAACGATCTTTTTCTGACCTCGCAAAATCTTTACCATCGCCGGCATGAATCAATCTTACTTTGTCTTCGCGCTGAAAAGAGACAAACAGTTACCTTGGCAAACGTTCTCCAAATAAAACTAGAATCAAAACAAGTTCATCAATCGTTTATCAATAAAATTTCAAACACACATTGTTTGTAAATATTTTATTCTATCAATTTATTTCACTGATAGATCACTGTATCCGAAAGTAGGACAAAAAACATTTTCTAATCATTTTCTACCACCTCTTTGACTTCGCTGTCAATATAATACATAAATTTGACCAAAAATTGTGTTGAACACAACTTGAAAATTTTAGCTTAAACATAACTTGGTTCTAAAAAAAGGATGATAATATTCTGGAACAGCCATTTTGAATTTCTATCATTTAATAACCCAAAATGCAATCTGACAAAATATCTTATCTGGGTAGGGGCTGTCTGTAACATTATAAAATGGAATATGTTGAAATGTTGTTCCTGGTGACAAAGTCTATTTTTTATCTTGATTTAGCAATAATGTGCAGACATTTTTCCAGGGAACCTGTTGATATGATTTAAGTACCTATAAATAGTGACTAGCAGCTGGATCAATAATTTCTAGGTCAGCGAAATGTTTATAGCAAGAGCCGATTGAAAGATCCACAAATCACAAAAACAAGCTGTAAGATTTCCCACGGTAGGCAAAACTGATACACATTACTATTGCATAAATACCATTCCTCAGAATATGCTTAAAGCCCGCTTAAGCTTCAGAAGAGTTCTCAAAAGGATACGATCGAAAAATACGATATGGGTATATCCTACACGAGAAGGAACTTGCTTTTTGATTGGAATTTACGACAATATGTTTAAATTGAAAGCAGAACATGGAAGACTTGTGACATAAAACAACCTTGGGGTACCGGAGCAGAGATCTTCACGCTATAGTCTCTGATTTATTAGGACCATTCACTAGCCTTGCGGATATAAATATCCCACACCTCTATAAAACATTCTATGAATATTTTTTTGTATGGTAAGAACAATTTTTCAAAGATCAAAAATTACTTCTTCTCGCTATACAATTCATCTTACATCACTACACAAATCTGGTCAATTTACCTACAAAAATTCAACCTCTGCCATATAAAAATACTTATGCAATCATCTTCCCACTTCAAGTAAAGTGGCTTTTCATTGACGTTTCTTCCGTTTTGTTTCAGCCGTATATATCAATGTATTCGTTATAGTAAACTTATCTTTTTTAACAGTCTTTACAAATCAAGAATTGAGTTGAAAATTATGTACTACTCTCGCGAAAAATGAGCTAAGCCGAGAATGTTGATAAGATGTAGTAGAATTCTCGAGAAGGAGCTCACAAAGTAGGTAAACTAACGAGATGAGAGCCCCCACCCCCCCCCCCTGTCGTCTATCAGAACCATAAACACAAAGGCGATGCCAAATTGCTAGCTTAAATAATAAAAATTTTTAAACGTATCGAATACAAATTTCATTTAGGTATTCAGAAAGCATTTAGCAAGTGATGTTTTAGATTATTTTTCAATAAAAATCTTGAGGTAGAGTCTCGAATGTCAGCTGATAGGTCATTCCAGAGTTTTGCTCCCATATATCGAATGGATTTTAAACCAAATTGAAGCGTATTTTTTTATCTAGATAGATATCTCCTCGGAAAGACTGCCTTGTTTCATAGTGATGGACTGAAATATTTAGTGTAAAGAAATTGTTGAAGCAACTCGGTGTTAGTTTGTTTATTGATTCAAAAACAAATGTTAATAACCGGAGTTTCAATATGTCATGAAGTCTGAGTAGCTTGAGGCTTCTAAAGACCGGTGTTGAATGGGAAAAGGCCTTTTCATGCGAAATTGCTCTAACAGCTCTTTTTGGCAGTTTGAAAATAGGGTCAACGTATTAGGCAAATGTTTGACCCCAAACAATGATAATAGCCTCAAGGCGATACGGATGTGACATAAACCACAATGAAACTGTGGTAATATAAGGCGTAGGCCTTTTTTGGTTTACCACAACTTGTTTCGAATGAATGTTTCGAAAGGTGAAAGAATCTTTAGGTGTGTATAGCAACCACTTTCACCTTGACAATTTCCATCAGGGTATCCTCTCCATGTGGTTGTGTAGTAGTTTCGACTAGAACTAATGCACTTAGCATATATTGTAATATTTATGTGGCACGTAAACAAAAGATGTTGAAAGATGCTGTTGAAAACATATAGGTGGTAAGCATTGGTCTGTGGTCCATTGCATTTGAAAAATGTTAGTTTGTTTATTGATTCAATATAAGGCTCGAGAAAACATTCTGCTTCAATAAACAAACAAACTGTACCTGTCTTTCACTTTTGGCTTCTTACTTTGCCGGTAAAACCAAATGGAAAGATTCACCACAATAACAACCAGTGTGATTACAGTGCCTATGTAATACATTGAGCCATAAACCTGCAAAAGGAATAACGTTTGTCATTATGGTTCCATTCGATGTGTTAATACTTTACAACCGCGTACAGCACTTTCTCCAAAAACGTGCCGATTCTGAGGCAGATTAGATATTTGTGTAAAATGTTGCCGTGACAAAGTGAAGTCAATATGGAGAAATCAACAAAGAAACAAAATAAGATATACTTAGAAACAGAAATGATAGGAAACCCAAAATGAGATATTAGAACTTTTCGCCAGTCTTAAGTTAGTAATTGTTCGAGCACAGATGTGTTTCACTTTTCTAGGTAAATGGATGGTCTCTAAAGTATAAGAAATTGCCTAAAGCTTTACTAACAAATCTGAGGACAGATCATCAAGGAGGTGCAGCTTGGGCAAGTACGAGGCATTTGTCCACCTGGTTTTTTCTTTTTGTTAGAGCAGAGTCAATACAAAGGAGGTCCTCTTAGAGGTAAAAATAAAAAAGGATTATGATGGTCAGGCTGTAACACAACTCAACAAAAAGGAAGAAACTAAAGCAAACAGGATTAACAACAGTTTGATATTATCGTACTGCAGAAATTACGCAATTCTTACCACTTTAGTTCTCCTCCACCGTAACAGTGCAAATGGGATAACGGAATATGCGAACGCGACATGTTTGAAAACGTACATAAACGGGATTAGCAGACACTTAATTGGCAGGCTCAGGTCATCGAAAACCAATCCAGTGAAATGATGAACATTATCAGCAAACTGAAAAATAAATAAAGATAACAAGGTTAATAAAAAAGGAAGCTTAAAGAACAGTAAACAAATAAAGAGTTTCAAATATCGTACGTTAGTAGCCAATAACAACAACAATGCCCCAAATATCACGTGAATAGTATAATGAATTTGATTTCGCAATATTCTTTCTTCTGATGGCCAATGCATGCTGAAATTCTTCGAAGCACCAATCAACTTTTTCTTGCTTTCGTACTTTCTAATAAAATTCCAAATACTTAACCCCCCCCCCCCCCCCCCCCACCCCTTACAACAGAACAGTGCTATCGCTGTGGGGAAGTATCATACAAGCTACATTGATAGCTAGAGGACAAACATTGATTGAATATTGCATTTAAATTTAAGTTTCAAGACTTTTGCAGAGTAGTGGATTATATCTTTTGCATGTGGAATATTCGTGCAACAGGAACACAAAATAAACAAATGCAAAATTATAAGCATTCTTTGACACTTGATAATGCGATGTGACTAAGCCATTTGATTAAATCCAGACTTAGAAAGAAGAAGCTCATTTGAACTTATTCAGGAGGATCTCAAGGAGGCAATCGAACGTGCTTTTCATTCTCTGCAGTCGTTCGCGGATCGCACCTGAAGAGCTTTAGGCGGTAAATTTACTCTAAGTATGTTATGATACGGACCAACCTTTTCATGGGTTCTTCAAATCACAGGCACCATCCAAACAAAGAATTCACTTTGGCTATTTGATATAAAATACTAATTGCTTACCTGTCTTTGTAGAACAATAATCACAAACTCGCTTGCGAAGGTTAAAAAGTATCCTATATAGAATCCATGCCAGATTGCCAGAAACAGCAGCGCAGTAAGATGAGAGATATTCTTGTTGCCTAGGAACCGCAGACGCTTGAATACATATCTGCAAAACAAAAGAAAAAACATGAAAACTTGGCAATTTTCGCATTGAGCAGAGCAGGAGATTGCAGTTTATGAATCACATCACTCTTCCTTAGCTCTTTCCGAGAATATTTCATATTTTTCCAAGAGATCTGCTTCCGCTTCGTGTTATGTTCTGGCCTGATCAAGACAAATACGACAAAATCTGTTTACGTAATCAATCTTCTTCTCAGGTGCTTCATCTTCTGACACGATTCTTCAGAAAAAGTTGCTGCTATTTTCCATCATTTTTCGTGTCTTTGACCATCATTATCATTTCTTTATTCATCTTACATATGTTACATTCATATACTGATGTTGCACTCTACATTGAGTTGAATCAACGCTAGTTTTTCTTTCAAGATAGCTAATTGAATTGAATTAAGATAGCTAATATTTTTCTCAGAAAATTTTCACATAATTATAAAAAATTGCTTCATGCCCAAATATGAGGCAGCGATGAAACCATTATTGATGGCTAATAGTTGTGAATAAAATGAACAGTCGGGCAAAAAGCAGTTGCCAGCTTTAAACAAATACAAAAAATTACTTAACACAAGCAGTGAATTCTCTTTTTTCAAGGCAAAGAATTTTATACACCCTGAGGTACCGTAAATTATATACAAGCCGAAAAAATGATGAATTAAGCAAAGTAGAAACGCTCTGACCCGGCAAAACATACTCTAGAAATTCTACTAAGTCTTCCTTTGGAGATAACCAAGTGATAGACTTTGAATGAGTGAGCTACCCCCTTCCTATTTCCAAGTAAGAGAGCAAGCGCAATAATGATCGAGTCTAATGCGCATGTTCTACGAGCACATCAACGGGGGGACCAGTTGTTGATCAATTATGCACCATGCTTAAAAGCTGATTTTTGAAAAACGCAAACATTTAAGTGAATTAAAATAAATAGTCATTCCGCTAATAACTTTTAATAAGCATTATTTGCATTACTGATGAAGGGTTATGACTTGAACATTTAATCAGTTTATAAAAGGGTATAGCATTTATCTATAATTATAATTTTGTACATCAAATATCTAAAGCTGCATTTACATAAAACTTACAAAGCTTATAAAGCTGACTTACTTTGCAACCCATTCGTTGGTGTTCACGTTGAAGCAATGAACAAGAGTCTGCAGAGATAAAACGAGCCAACATGCAGTTATTTCCACGAGTTATGCATTTCGATTTCTAAAGTTTCGTCAGATTCCGTATTCCGTACAGCCAAACTGGCTTCTAAGTCGGATCTCTTCAGATTGATGACAACAGACAAACAGTAAACTCTGATATCTCGAACCTTCAAGGAACCAGTGAAATGGTTCGAGATAGCGAATATTCGAGTTATCGGGGACATCTTCGTTATAAAAGTATTGGGCAAGGGGAATGCAATATCAGTTCGACTTATTGAATGTTCGAGTAAACGGGGATTCGATTTATCGGGAGTTTGCTGTATCATCAAGTGAACAACGGCAAAAATATCGTTAATGCCTGTTCAGATTCTAGAAAATATGTCACCATATCTTGCTTTTCTTGCAAAAGCCCAATTTTTCTCCCACAATTTCTACAAATATTTTAAAAAGGTCCGACTCACACAAATATCCAAGTATTGAAAAAATACCCCACGTTATGGCCTGCAAAATAGACTGGGACAACGCACCAGGAAAACGGCAAAACTGGGTTTATGCAATTAAATTTTGCATACAAATGCTATGTTTTGCTAATCAAATGTTTTGATCGACAGAAATCGTTAGCCATCATAGCCTCCTTTGGGTTAAAACTTACTTCTTGCCTAATAAGATTGCCTAATATATACCAACTTTAAAAACTAAAATATTCATCCAATATTAATAACAAATATTGCATTTTTGGTCGCACAGGTCTCAGCCCTCCAAAAGATTTGTTTCACAAACTTCAGTGATTCTTATAGATAAATAAAAATAAACTGGAACTTAATCAGTACCATTTCTGTTTGCAACTAGAAGCAACGTGTTAAAAGACCGAATTCGCTGAATTCGCAAGGAAATAAGATCATCACGAGACAAGCAAACAGAAAAGAAACAAAGATTTATACTTTTGAGCAGAATATTGTCGGAACCTAAACGGCCTAAAGCAACATGTGACAACAAAAATAATCTATGTGGTTCGAAAGGCTCGTTCGGCAAAAAAGGGGCATGTGAAATAGAATTGGTTCAAAAAACATAGAATCTAAGCCACATTTGGTTGGTGGAAGCTTTTCCTTTTGTTTAAAAAAAGGATAATAATGCAATCCTTGAAGATTTTATTAATTGTCAATTATTGGTAAAACTATACTGTTGGGTGTGGAAGCAATTGATTAACATCATTTTTCTGCTTCCAGTTCAACAGAAGTTAAATCTGAGTTTTGAAAATTTAAGCCAAGGTGTTGAGTAGAAACAGAAAAATTGATTTAGCTAGATTTAGTTCCTGTGTGAAAACGTTTTGTTGTGTCCCATTTATTACACACAGCCGAACGTTCACTTTGAGTAGAAAGAATGCATTATTTGAATTTTTGGCTCACCTAAATATTTGTGTTCCTACTAAAGTTTTATTCTTATCAGACACTTAACAATGGTTTAACAAATCTTCTAGGAAAATTCTAAATGAAATTCGTGTCGCTTTCTTTGTTATTTTTTGTCTTGGAGTTTTTCACTAAGTGTGATTTCTATCCATCAAAACAAATCAGAGAAACGTGGTAATTCGTGTTGTATTCGTGGCTCATAATTTTTGTGAAAGTGAAGTCAAAGTGAAAAACGTCTCTCTGAGATAGAATGCACTGGCTAAATGAATTGTCCATGCGTTTCTTGTTCCGTCCGGTTTTGTTCAACCACACGTGCCTGAAGTCTTGATTTGAAATGAATTCTGTTGGCTGATAATCTGCTTGGAGTTACTTCTAAAGTAACACCAATAATGTGGCAATGAATACGACCCATACCGCGATACATTTAAAAACAAAACTTATATCCAATGAATCCTCTATTAACAAATAGTTACGTACCTCTAAATAATAACCAGTAAAGTATTTGGTGATTCGAATATTCTTTAGTCCATCCCACTTTGCTTTGCCATCTTTGTTAACACCGTTGTAACCCAAGCCAGTCAAGATACAGCAGCCCTCCTATGAAACAAATGCAACATTTTCAATCTTTGACTATAAAGAAATCCCACCTCTAAAACCATCCACTAAATTCACTCTGCTTCTAATATTGTTTAGCTTAAAGGTACGTGATACTATCAATATACCGGAGCCAACAGAAGAGTCACTTCTCTTAATACTAGCCTGAATACATCAGCAAGCAGCTTACGTCACAGAACAAAACCCGTTCATAACCAGCAAAGAAATCTGATGAAGAGCACAATGACCGAAATAGACATCTTAGCGTGAAATGCGCAAATCTTATAAATATAACTTTCCTAACAACAAAATTTGTTGTTTCAATAGCCAAAGACTCAGGGCGAAAAAGGTTGATTCTACAGTATAATTTTAAACAACGAACATGGAATCCACATGAACGACACTGTTTAATATAAATTTTGAATTAAGAATACAGAGAAATAGAATTTGGTCGCAAACTATACGATGTACAAACTCCAGCTTTCAAAGTTGTTTCTAAACGCACCAAACTCGTCAAACATGGCCAGGAATAAAGTTCGCATAAAGTGGCAACATTAGTCAAATTAATTCTTATAAGATTTGTACCGCTTATAAGAACCATAAGAGTATTCAACTTTTTAGTGACAATAATAAATACAAAATAGACAGAGGATGTGACATCTTGCATGTCACAAATATTTTTTGAGAGAGATCCTCCGTGTCCAAATAGGATGGCATGAATAGCTATATAAAAACTAAACTGATACAAACAAGCAACCACATGGAATAATTAGTGGAATAAAAATCTCAGTTATTGAATCTTAAGCAACTCACAGCAAAAAGCCAAACAAAGATGTATTTCAAGAACATTATCTGGTACCAGAAGACCACTTCAATGCACTTCTTCCAGAGCGGAGCATCCTGAACAAAAGGAAATGATAAAATGAATTAAACTTAAAGTTAATGGCGTGTATTTTAAATATATCTGATTAAAATATTTTTAAAGGTATAAATGGTTACATGGTTCATCTTAAATATCAACAGTTAGGATCAACAGTTAAGACAGGTCTGGTCTGTCCAACTCAAGTCAGGTCTGTACAAGTCAAGTCTGTATAAGTCAAATCAAGTCGAGTCTGGACAAGTCAAGACTAGCATGGACCTATTTATAGCTACCTCGCAACAATACAAGGAATCTCGGAAAGGCATAAAGTAGGGGACAATAGCTAAAAGGGGGACAGGAAAACACCCAAAAATGGATCAGAAAATTAAAATGTAGCAACAATGGTGTGGATGATTTGTTTGGTTTTACCATAACATGTTTGGGGAGGAGGGATCTTAAGGTGTGGGTACCGACTACTTCAACCTTTGTCATTAATCTTAAACATCGACAGTTATTTAGGAGTATTCACGATCAAAGGGGCTGTGTCACAGTATTGTAAACAAACCAAAACATAGGACACTTTTACAGCCTATTGGCATATTGGAATAATTGTGGGTAGTACTCCGGTGCTTCAATAAGCTCGAGAAATTGTTTTTTCTGAGCACGGATGCAAAAAACTGTTTTATTCCATATTGGTTGTCTTATTGCACGCTGGTTGTTTCACCTAAAGAACTTTCATTCAACTGGCGTTTTGCTACGCGGGTTGCCACGCGAGATGTCCTGTGTGACACAGTCCCTTTAAGTTTTTCTGGGACACTGGTCACAACAAAACGTAAAGAAAGAGATGAATTTTTATGTTTTCAAATCTTAAATGCGCTGTTCTACATTTAAATTGCATTTAGGAGATAGTGATAAAGCATCAAAATAAAAAACTGGTAGCATGACAATAATGTTGCTAGTGTGTTCTTATTAGAAAGTACAGTGTCATTATTTTCGAATCGAGCAACTGCAAGTTGATAAGGAATTATTCCGCTGGGAACCCAACGAAATTTAATACATCGATGTTCAAAGACATTTGACGTTTCAATTTAATTAATGTTTTGTACTGGCAAGTCAGTACTTGAATACAACATCACATGGCCTGATATGGATGAAAGGTGTGGCGATTTCTATGACTGTCTTTCAGTCATCACTAATCATTTCCAGTCATTTCTAAAGTCAAATTGTTTGCTACAGAATTAACATTTCCTGCCCTAAAGATCTTCAAGGTTAACAGAGAGGTAAGAAAAACGTGCATACTCACAAGGAAATCCTTCGTAAGAATGTGGTAGGTGGGGTAAACTGGATCCAATAATACAAATGAAACTAAGAAAACGACACCGAGAGAAAAGCGAAGGAAGCCAGCGACAAACCTGAAAAACATTTAAAAAGTTAGATTTGAGAAGAGAAGGTTTTCTTTACCAAATGAGCATTGATGATTGACTGGAGGTAGTTCTAAAGTTGAATGCTAAAGGAGCCAATTACCCTCAGAGGGGGCCGAAGGGGGAGTTGCCTTCGATCAATATTGGCAAAGGGGGCGATATAGAGTTTTGGATTTTTGTTTATTGTAAGAAAACCCAACGTCAAATAGCGTAAGAAAAAAAATTAACAAATTAACAGAAAAAAAAATTTCAAGCTGGAATGACAAAAATTGGGATAAAAACATTTTCTGCCAAGATAAATCGTGCTGTAACAAATGGCGCTAGAATCCCAATATTTAGTTGATCTTGGTTTAAGTTTTGGGTGCTTTATTCCTTGTTATTGTCCTATGGAATGCCTTGTCTGAGATCTTTGTCATATATGTTATTGCCATAGATATTTTAAGATGTTCTTCATAGTGAAGCGTTCTCTGTCAAGGCTTTCTTCACAGAACTACCTTAACACGTGTGGGTTGCCCAAAAGCTTTAAGTTGATCAAACTAGGTGTAGAATCAGCTTCTACAGAATCTAGCACACATGCCGACCTTATTATTCATTTAAGACGGGTCGAGCTTGGGGATTCACTGAAATAATTTTATCACTGAATGAAGAAAGGGCAGAAATCTGTTTCATTTTCAAAACCAAATTACTATTTGCATTCAGATTGTATGGCTTTCACTTTCATGCTTTAACGAGGCGGCCATGGCTGTGGACTTTGGTCCACCAATGAAAACAATGCGGAAAAGGACTTACATCTTTTTTGTTTCAAGCGAAAAGATAGCAGTAAAACGAACGCAAAAACCCGTATGAATTTACTGCTATTTAATTTCAAAATAAGTTGCATGATCCTCGTATTAAACGGGGAAGTCAAAGTTGAAACTTAGAACTACTCTATTTTTCAAACATGGTTTGAAAATGACGTATAAAGCAACTTAAACAGATGCTTCAATAAAATTAAAGCTTACATAAGGTCGGAGAAGTTTGTTTATTTCATTGAATTTTTTACGCAGTGAAAAGCTTAAATGAGAATTGTTTACTAATGGCTCTGCTAAAAAATTAACAACATTGACAAAACAATACACAATAAAGAAAATTCGAAATAAATAAGGTGAATTGGGGAGGTGAAGCGTGTGAATGACACGGGTGAGTGTTTGAGTTGCATCTGTGAGCTAAGTCTAGCGGTGGCTCAACTTATATCCGTAGCATCGCAGTCCTTAAGGCATGTCCAGGAGGATAATGCGTGGGTCTTCTTTGAATTACGTAAAAGCGTCCTGCTTTGAGTTCTACGTAATCGCTTTTTACGCTCGTGGAGTCTCTCCTCGCGTCGCGTCTATTGCTGTTTCTCTTTTTTTGTGACGGTAATTGAGAGTGATCTTGTTTATAGGTGTGGCTTCAGGGTTACCATGTTATCGTGGGTGTGCAATTACCATGCTCTGCATATTGAATTGTTTGTATTGTGAATAAAAATAAGTGCGTCATCTCTCCTTTGAAATTTTTCATGGGTTCATATTTCAAGTCACCATTCGATGTTTTATTATGATGTTCCTCTTTTTGTCCTTTAACAGCATTTTACAGGCAGTCAGAACTTCTACAAAAACCCTAAATAAGCAGATTGCACTCATAGATAGGCTACAAATTACCACTTAATTCAATCTACCTCACATGCATACTAGTCTGAAAAGATTGTTGTAAATCAACTTTTTTTAAAATCAATTAGAAAACTGTCTAATGTGTCCATCTTCTGGGTCCGTTCCTTTTTCTCTCTTGTAAACGGGGCCTTAGTCAAACCTAGCTGATTCTTCGCGTTTTCGTTGCTTCTTGTGATAATTGTCTTATTTATAGTTCAGAAAAGGCTACCTGGCGCTTTTTACGTCCGCCGTTGTAATGAGAAGAAGAAAAACTAATTTATGGCTACTCTCCTCAATTTCTCTGTAGCTTTTGCAGAGCAGCAGCTGCCTAATCATTTTAATACACACAGGAAACTTGGCATCCGTTTTTTCTTGTATTCTTTTTATAAAAATAACCTCTCATATTTCCCACCCCCACTCTATTACATCACCCTTTTTCTTCTCTTCTTCAACTTTCGTCCAACCTTTACTGATTTATTTCCCTGGCAGCCTCACTGCTTCTAACCGATATATTTTCCAAAGGTCGTCTAGACGGCATCCCTTCTCTTTCTACATGGTAGAAGATGATTGACACTTCAGTAGAATCGAAAGAGGAAGGTCACACGAACGCCACAGACTGAAGCAAGTCTTGTTAATCTGTCCGAATGAACGCATTCTTATGCATTCATAGCTGATCCGCTACTTCACAAGAGTGCAATTCAGTGCTTAACTAGCGAATGACCTATACACAAACACGTGATTCGATTATCCCGAGAAAGCAGCATTCAGATTAGCAAACGTCACATTGCGACCAACCAGGCTCTAATTCGTGCACTTTTTCGAGTGGCGCACTCCACCCTGCGCGGTACTTAAGGGCAAAAGAAACAGCTGGGTAAAAAACATGATTACATAATACAGAGACGAACACCCCTTCTGAAAGATTTAAAAAAGTTAAATTGTCTTATATAAGGGTCCGGAGTTCATGTGATATGGAATTCCCAGGAAAGGGTGCCAAGAAACTTTACCACACCAATAAAGTGGCAATGACGTCTTGTTTCCAAAAGGGGGGGGGGGGTTGGAAATAGAAATGTGTAGGCAGATTTGGATGTCAATCACAGACCAAAAAACATTGCAAATGGACCTGCCCAGTAAAATCTGAGTTTGGATGAAAGAAACCATTTTGGTACATTGAGAAAGCTGGTTCGAAACTGATGGGCCCTGAAATTTGCAAATCGCAGGGCATCTGGAGTTTTTGCAAAAATTGGACAATTTCAAATTTGAAAAAGATGCTTTCGCTTTCACATTGAACTTTGGCATATTTGGTTTTTAATTATAGTTTTTTTGACACTACGGGTACATAGACGTTTTCGACCCTTCGATGTTGGGGTGCCACTGGGTGCCTACAGGGCTTGAAAGTTCTGAATAATAATCGGCTCATTCCAATAATACGATGAAAAGCCACAGGAAAATTATAAGTATCAGATAACTTATTCTCCTCAGGAAAAAGAGGCCTCAAAAGTGGGCATGACCCTTAGATTTGCAGGTATAAACGGACCTTGTTCCAAGAAACGACGATTTTATGGGAAAGTAATTCAAGTAACAAAATGAAATGAAAAATTAAAAACTGGATGTTTCGAGCATTTACTCGTTATCAAGTGACGATAAATTGTGATTTGAGAACGGGTACATGCTTGAAACGTCCTGTTTCTAACAGTGCACTTTTTTCTGGTACTTTAATTATTGTCTCATTATATTGTCGTTTTTTGGATAAAGAACCACTTAAGCAATTAACATGTTTCATTGGATTTATCTTGGTTGGCAAGAGTGGACCATAATAGTTGGACATGTCAATAACGAAAGAAAATGTTACCTGGATCCGCCATTCTTTTCGGCATTTTCATCGATTAGTGTTCCTTCGATAAATGCGATGTAGCGTTTCATTGGAAACTAAAACAGAGAAAAGGCACTAACTTGAACATCTTAACAGTGCAATGAATAGAACACTAGTTGAAAGAGAAAAAAGCCACCCGCGAAAGTCTCTCTATTTTGGTAGCTTTCTACGAAACTGTTCTAAAAGTTTTGGATAAAAACCCACAAAAAGACGATTGCATGCACAAACGTTAAAGCTGCTAAAGAAATGTTGATGTGAATCTAGCTTTCCTGAGATACTTTGATTTGTACTTGTATTTTGATTTGTTCAGACCGAGGAACATTTCCTTGAAGAATGCTTTGTATGAAACACTGCCTTAAACGGAGAAAACTGATTAAATCTGACATGAAAATCTATTTTCCCCTTCATTTTCAAAAGATTTGTGAAAGTATTTCAACAATATTCACGATTCAAATCACAGTTCCGTTACAATGGAGATTCTCGCTGCTGCGAAGAAGCAAATGACTCCTTACTAGGTGACGATTACATTAAATTTAATCAGAGTTCATTTCACGAGGGGCACTTGTCCATACCTAATTGACTGGTCATGTTAGTTTCATATTGAATGTTTCTTATGCGGGTTTGGAATTGAATGCTTGAGTAAAGCGCATGGTTGAATAGCCTTCAATTCCTTGGGCTGATATCCGATTAACGGAGAATTCAGCTTACCGTGGGTCTCACTTTGCTCGGTGTAGCCTCATTGAACACATACTATTCGATTTTTCCTTACCCTCCAAGCCTCGATTTGTTCTCTTTATACGAAAAATCTTTTTTTTATAAGAATAACTTAATTTTTCCAGTCCAAATAAAAATTGGTTTTTATGAGCATAAAAGTTTTCTTTCAAATTCTTTGCTACTGTCGTTCTTAATCACGAAAAAATTCTCGGAGACGAATCATACTAGCACAATACAAGCTTGATGAGTGCTTCTCAAAATGTTTGCGTGAAACTCAGTGAAAACCATTCAGATAAAGGACCAAATTGTCGATGAAATGTAACAAACTATGAATCTCGATGTTATAATGAGTTTCTTCTAATGAAAGAAGCATTCCTTGAAGAAACCATAACAATTTTGAGCCTCATTTCCCGATTATTCAAAATCTTCTCACAACTTTCATCACTGTTCATGTTTTAAGGCGTCTATGCTTTTAAATAGGACTAGGGCATCGGCTAATTATGGGGAAAATGGCCTTTCTTTACCCGTTTACAGCTCAATATCAATTACAATTGTGGTTCTTGTTTAACGTCCCTAAATACTTCCCTCCTTGTAAAAGTTTATGATGTTTTAAAATATTTGCGCCGATGCACAAACGGTCCAACTCACTCTCGGTGATGTGGCAAGGTAGCCTAATAACTAATTTATTGGTGTCTATGCTTTGTTTTTTCGAGGAGGCTATTTTGCCCTTCAACATCTATTGCAACATCTTTTCAAAATTAGAAAACTTAACAGGTGAAAAAACAATTCGTAACCTAGAACAGGCATTCTAAGGGTTAATTCTTTGACTTGCTTTGATCTCTTGTGCCTATGCCAATCATGATTTCTATCTTTAACTCATTCTTAAATTCGCTCTTCTCTACAATATGACCCATTCTACCAAATCACTCAATTTTTATCTGAAACCGTCTTTAAGAAAACGAGTCCTAAGATGAACAGAAAATTAAGAAACTTTTGTCTTGACGACCTTCAACCTGAACCTTTGTTGCTTACAAAAATGGTTGTACAATTTCAAGAAAACTATTATAAATCGGTGTTTAATGATAGATAAGTAAAACGTCTTTCATCAGGTGTTGGTGTCAGGGTGCCATTGTATTCAACTACAAGAGGGATACAGAGTTCGCTGTAACCATTGATTGTAAAACAATGGAGAAAACTTACTACTTTTGGCACCGAAGCACATGATCAGTATGAAATTTACAGACAATGAAATAATCCTTGATAACACTCCATACATACCTGCGGGCCAGCCATTTGCGCTCCGTAAAAGAAGGAAAAACCACAAATCTATGACAAGAAAAAGGACTGTTGGCAAGCCTTTTATGGGTAACAAGAACAGAGCTAGCCGGGGGGGGGGGAAGGGGGCTGGCAGTCGCGCGAAGCATCGAGAATAACACCGACAACTAGCAACCATTATTGACTTCACAAATATAAATTACAGTTGTCTTGCCGAAGTTTCATGTATAAGCTATTAAAGATGTGAAAGACTTGTGTCAATTACCCTTTAATGCCTAAAATACAAAACCAAGGCACTTTGCAATACCCCAGAATGCAAACATCACTTATGGAACTGAGGAATTAAGATTCGTGGGAAAAATTATCAATTGAACTTCACACTGAAAAATCATTTACAATCTCTTTTATAAATCACGGTTATTGGTCAATCTTTCATAAGGCAAAACTAAAAATTTCAAGGTCATTGTCAATATTGCAAAATGTACACAGTTTGGATTTAGACCTTGATTTCCATTTCAGTCAACTTTGTTTCTTGCGGTCGTCATCTGTGCAACCACCCCCCTTTTTCTGGCCTGGAGCTCACCCTATCCAAAAACAATAAAAAACCCAACTAACCTCTAATAATGTTGGAATTCGATCAAGGGCAGTCAGTTTTTGGTCGTTTGACAGCACCTCCTATGGAAAGACAAAATGACGCTCTTTTACAAAGAACAGGGAATGATTCAAAACAATTTGTTAAAGTTGAGATCCCTGTTTGGAAAAAAAACTGTGGCTCCAGAGGGTCAGAACTCGCAAGAGGACAGGTTCCTACATTTAAAATGGCTTTTAAAAGAAGCTGTTCATTATTAGTTAAGTCAGTTGCTGAAAATAACATAAATATGGTTTGTGCAGCGATGTTTTCAATCATCCATAAATGAAACAGCCCACACTAAAGCCTGTTCCGATCAACAATATTTAAATAATCAGACATTTTCTAAATGCAATGAAACTGAAGGTAAACAGGGAAATTAAAATTTTGTTACCACATGCAGTTTCAACCAAAACATAAAAAATAAGCTAGTAGTCAACTTGAATTCCCTGGCTTTAAAACTGGTGATTACCATCTCCTAGGTTTTTTCCAAAATTCGCATCAATTGCATTCAAAAACATTTTGGCACCCAAATCGTTAGCAAAGCTATCAGAATTAGATCATAACCGAATGTCTAAATTTCAGTGAAATTCAGTGGCTCAAAATTCTTATGTGTGTTAGCTAGCTCAGTTTTTCTAAATCGACTCATCAAGCAATGCTATAATTTTCATCTAAACTGATCTGTTGATAAGAGCATATTTTGAGATGATTTTGAGTGTGAATTTATTCTGGGATGGTGCAGGTGATATGTTTAAGGAAAGCCCAGGTATTGGGTTTGAAATTATTGATTTTATCCAAGGTTCTTTCAATCCAGTTAAAATAGAAAAATGCTTAAATGGTCAAGGCTGTCTTTATAAAAATCATGCATTTGTCACTTTAAGAATACAATTGTCTACTTCACAATTAAAATAATTATTTTACCCGCATTCCATTTAGTGTTTGGTGCTGATTATACAGGGCTCTGTGCATCAATGTGTTTATTTGATAGATAACAAAAATGTGCCAAGTTTTGCCCTCAAATTAATAGTCACTGCCCGTTCGCTTGTGATGAAATATTATTTATACCCCTAGCTCTGTTGCATAGTAGAAAGAATCTGTGAAAAATGCTTTGATTTACTGTAATAAAATATCAGCTTAGAGCTAACATACATGAATCAGAATCACTCAAGACCCTCTATAGGTTGGAGAGTCGGGAGAGTCTATAGGTTGGAGAGATTTTGGACAAAGGTCAACTTAAGCATGTTATGATACTGTCTAACACATATGAAGTGTACTAGAGTTTTCATTACCTTTGGGCGTTTTCCATCATAGCAATCCCAAGCAAGACCTAGTTTAAGAAAATTAATGTGAGAAAATATAGCAGCATGTAAAAAACAGAGAAATCACTTCAAAACTAGAAAGCCAGTAGACATACAGGCAAAGAAAAAGGACTGAGTTTCCAGCTTGTTAAGGATGCTACCAGGAGCAAATTTTATTTTGGAGGGCATGAAAACTCCCATTTTGAGACAGTTTGTTGGCAAAATCATTCTTTGGATCATAAAACTATCTTAAGGTAGACCAAATTGGGATGAATTCTTTCTGTGATTGTCTTCATCTGAGAATATAACAATTGCATATCCTTAAACATGGTTTCTGTGAAAATATGCTACTGCCCACTTACCTAAACATGGTATTGGAGATTAGATGTGAACAATTGGAAAAACTGATTTAATACTTGTGAAGCTGATGTGGCAGAGAGATCAAAATCTTTTGGACATACCGATAAGACGTAGACAAAGAATGCACTGAGGTGTTGTCCATTTGATATCATAACTATCTGATGAAGTGAAGATGTAACCAACAATTAGATATCCCTTGAAGGAGAAAAAGACGACAAAAATCAATCAATGTTTAACCACCTGCAACTTCTGACCTGCAACTTCTGAAAAGTCAGGAGGTAGGCGAGAGCAAAATTTCTACGGATGTACATCTTTTCAAATGCAATGGTTTTATACATGGAAATTATTTTGCAGATTAATAAAATAAAACCATTCTATGTTTTGACAGCACTAAATGACTCACCATGTTAAAAGAAAACAACACAAAAACAGATGCTCTAGTCCCACCAATCAGCACCAACACAATATATGTAACCAGGATGGAAATGGCTGGGTACACAAAGTCTTGAGCTGAAAAAGATAATGAATATCTCAGTTTTCACACAAAAAACAACCACAATCTTAAACACAATAACAACCAACAATAGGTCAGGACGTGCCATTTGTTTATTTCCAGGTGAGCTGTGAATCACTCAACTCACTTGTTCAGAACATCAAGAACAAATATAAGGGAAATGTATATTTGTAATAGCCTAGACTTCCAGCAAAATTAAAAAATCTAAGCAGTATTCTGCATTTAAATTGCTGAAGTCTCCTTCAATCTGTGATGTTGCCAATTTTGCTTGCATCTCTTTTTAGGATATATCTCAAGAGCATCTGTAAATAAATAGAATTTCAAAGGGTGTAATTTCATCAGAAGGCAGTGCTGAGGAGAGTACAAACTATGTTCTGCATTGCCCATAAAAGATACTTGTACATTTTATTTAAAAAAAAAAGGAAATTTTCAGGCTCTAATATTGCAATAAGATTTGTATGTTCTTTTGCTATGTCTATACAGCATTGAGCACTTTATGTCAGACCAGCTAACAGAAATTTTTATTAAAAACTGAGTTATATGTGAACAATTTGTGGAAGAAATCATCAAAACAGTGTACTCACCAAAGCAAAAATATAGTATATTTAGTCCAAATATGGTAAAGTACAGGTTCTGCAAAAAAGCAAAAATGAAACTTAGATGTTATGATTCCAAAATAAAATGCAACCTTGGGACACTATGTCAGCGATTTTGAAATCTTTGTTACTACTTTAAAAACACAGAATTGAACAAAATATTCATTTAACCTGCTTCTTCATCTCTGTATCTCATCATCTGACTAATTTTATCTTATAATCTTCCTTAAAGGCACAACACAGTTTACATGACCTGCATGGGCAGCACCAGCTACTAAGTTCTGGGGGGACAAAACAAAACTTTTGGACCATTCCCTTTAAATGTCAGAAAAAAACCCTTTACTAACAAGGTGCACCACTTTTGCGTGAAAACCTCTCTCGTGTAAATTATTTTCTCTTTTGTGTAAATTTTATTCCTTTTACGATTGGAGTGGTGTAGCTCATCATGTCTGGTCGCAAATTTGTTTGATTAGTAAGGAACATAGGTAGACTTGATATCTCCTTTTAAAATAGCTTTTTGTGAGTATTTGCCATATCTGCAACGCTATTGGAACGATGGGCGACACCACTCCAATCACATTTGTAGCTTATTATTGTAATATTTGTGTCTCTATGTTAAGTGTAAGTCTTAGGCTTGTTATGCATTTCCATGCTCCCTAGGCTTTTGTATTGTAATTGATTGTCATTGTAAATTTTATGAGAATATAAAAAAAGAAAAAAAAGTGCACCAATTTTACCAATTGTTTGGTCTGTTTTCTAATAAATACTACTTTTTAAGATTAGACATTCAAAAGAGGGCCACACTTATCAGAGGGCTGCGTTTATTACCAATGGTTGGCTAAACACTTTTGTTAGAGGGTTGCATTCATTAGAGAAAACAGGGTAATGACAGGAGGAAAGCAGTAAATCAATATACAGCAGCTTTTTATTCTTTAGAGGCTGTGGACCTTCTTCCTCAATTACTGATTGCATTTTAATTGTCCTTTAATAGCAACCTCCAAACCACTCTTTATAATACATTCTTCCTCCTTCAGTCCTGGTAACATGAAATTTGTTGATTAGGCATGCGGTGGTGTGTGATGGCATGTGATCCATAAAATGGAGACCTTACGATTTTTACAAAGATCTGATAGCATTTTAAATGCCATGTATAGTTGAAGGGGTGTATTACCGTTTGCAAAAGCATTTGAAGGTTTGATACAACCAAATAATTTTTGTGGAATTTAGAAGAAGTTTCTTGAAAACAAAATAATTTAGTAAAAAGCATTCAAGATTTTAGGCCCTGCTGTCATTACTCCGTTTTCTTGTGAGAACGGATTCAAATTCAATTTTAGATTTTGAGTTCCAATGCACTCAAAAACGGAATTATTTGATACCAAACGGGAGTCCTTTCAAAAAAAAATGTTCGATGTTGAATCATTTGTAAACAGAGTCATTTGAAGATTTCATACAACCAAATAATTTTTGCAGAATTTAAAAGAAGTTTCTTTAAAACAAAATGCATTGTCTTATAGGGAATAGCAATCGAAAAAAGAGTGATATAATCTCATCAAAAAGTGCTCAAACAAAGGATATGAGAACAAATAATGGTGGTGTAATGTAAACACCCACGTTATTGTTTTGATCAAAACAGAGTGGCTTGAGATAATGCGTTAGAGAAAATACGAAAATGGAATGAGAAAAATGGAGACATATACGAAGATGGAGTAATGGAGCCAGGTCTTAAAGAGTTATGATGTCCCTGGAAATTCTATCAAGATAATGCACACAAAAGAAATTAAAAATTACTTTGGAGAAAATAATCAAGAAATTAAAAAACAAAAGAGAAAAAGAACAGTAATTCCAAATGGGGAACACCAGGACTGCTTCTTCCATAATACCAGGATTGCTGAAACCAATAACGATCAGTAAGTTGAACAGCACATTCTTGGTTTTTTATAAAAGGTGCATGTACCTGCGATCCTTTTCTTATGAAAAGCCAAACATTGTGCATTTCTTCTAAAAAGTACATGCACCTTTCAGGGAAGTACATTTGTGCTTTGGTACAAGAAATTTACTATTACTGGATTAAAAAAACATTTATATTTTTATACCTTGACAATAGGGCTTGCTCTTGCCACTGTAGCATGATACAGAAGTGCCAAAGGGTAGCCTGTAAAATAGCAATAAATGGATTGAACACAAGAATAAACGTGAGTTGAATTTTAAAAAGACATGCAAGATATTTTCACATTGATTTCTTAATGATAAGAGCCAGAGATAGTGATAATAGTGATAAGAAATATGGGCCTTCTTGAGAAAAATTTTAAGCACAAGTGTATGTCTGTGGTGAGGTACTTTTAAGGTATTTTGTCTTATTTCATGAAAAGTGGAAAGCTGGGTGGAAATGGTATAAATCCTCCTGAGTTAATTTCCTTTTTTTTCTGTTTTTTTTAATGCTCCTTGAGTAAATGCTGAACTTTGAATAGTATAACCGTCGCTGATACCGTTTTGTTCATTGTGTTTTTCTGAATCAGGGCAACTGTAAAACAGTGTTGTTTTACACTAGTCTAGCAAGAATTTTAAATGTGCGCTGGGTGGAAATGGTATTAATCCTACTCCTGAGTTAATTTCCTTTTTTTTCTTCTTTTTTTCTAATGCTCCTTGAGTAAATGCTCCAGATTGGTTGTAAAGCCTTTAGGAGTTAACGATTGAAGAAAAGCACCCAGAAGCAGTTAGTCCTGACATGATCTAGATCAAGATGAGGCAGGCATTTCTAAATCAAGTTTTTATTTTTTCACTGACAAAAACTTTTGAATATGAATGCGAAACACCATTTCAAACATCATAGAATTGACAAAAGCTAGAAACTAGTAAGCACCACATAGCTCTGTGGGTCTTTGATAACCCAGAAGTAAAGAAGCATACTGATCATAAGTTGACTGAGCATACTGGAGCGCTGGGTGGAAATGGTATTAATCCTACTCCTGAGTTAATTTTCCTTTTTTTTATGCTCCTTGAGTAAATGCTCCAGTTTGGTTGTAAAGCCTTTAGGAGTTAACGATAGAAGATTGAAGATGAGCCCAAGAATGCTTTACCTGGTGGATTGGCTGAGGAGCTAGCAAGGCCTCAAAATCACATAATACAACATATATACCAAATAAATATATATGAAACACTCTTTTTGAATTAAACAGTACAGATGCCCCAGACTTTAAAGTATTTTTTCTGTGCGGGGAATACCAGAAGAATATTTTCTAAATTTGCGGATAACGAACACTTCCTGCCAAATTGTGTGTGGAATTTGAAGCAAAGACCTTCAAAGAGACCTTGTATTGGTTGTTTTTTTCTTGTTATCAGAAGTCAGAAGTTTGAATGGTGAACATGGAGAACATGACCAGATAAACAAATATTTTGCGGGGAATCTAAGGCAGATTCTTAATAATGTGCTGGCGGAAATAAGGGCAAAATTATTGAACGCATTCCTCGCGCAGACCAAACTCTTCAGTCTGGCAGATGCCTGTACTGATACAAGCTCTTTTCATCCAGGCACACTATTTTATCAACAAACTTGATCCCAGATCTCTGTTGGCACAAGGATGTATGACAACGCCCAGCGCATTAATTAAGGCTGCTGTTGATATTACACCATTTTTCTTAGTTTTATGACAAGCTGAGCTTGTCTTTTTTATGGTTTTAAACAAACAATCCTTGGATTCTTTTCCAAAAATATTTCAACCGGCAATTCACTCTTTTTGGTGAGCTGGTATTGCTTCAAAAAGAAAGTATCCATAGGAATGTAGAATTTATTTTAGTTCTTACTCCAAGTTCTATCTAGTTTTGAGAAGGGAGTTAGATCAGGAGAAACGTCAGCAAAATCTGGATTTCAGTCTTGTGGGGAGAGCTTGACATAAGCTTACTTCAGCCATTCAAAAATAGATATAAAAACCTATTTGAACACAGGACATTTCAGCTACAAATTGACTTATTCAATATGAACATCAGATATTAAGACCTTGATTAAAGACTTTTTGTCATAACTGGTAAAACATAATTAGGGGAATAGGATATAAGAAATGGACATTTAAACACTTAATATTTGACATAGAATTTGGCATCACTAAGATCTATTAAGTACGATATAAATGCTCATCAATCCAGAGCCTAGTTGCATTCATTGTCCCAATAAACATAATACCACTTATTAACCCTCAACGGGTGGTTCTTACTTCTCGATAGCCTATGTATACACGAATTGAACTTTGGAGGAGGGTACCCAAAAAGGGTATACAAATGTCATATCAACGAGAAAGATAGAGAAAAATAGTTACCGATAAGAAGTGCTATAAGAAATCTTAATCCAGGTTCTGAGGTACCAATAGCCTTTGCTAATCCATCAACCTTTATGAATTCAAAACCACCCTTGCCACCTTGCCCAACACCTTCCATTTTGTATCTTACGATTCTATTGAAGAAACTTCATGTAAAGAAATTCCGTTGCATCGAATGTTATCTCCTTCACAGCGGTTATTTTAATTAAGCATGCTGTTCTCTTTTCTTTTTACTTTATTCATTAATTTAATTTAATTTAATTTTAAAATTCCGCTACAATCGAAAATCGTTCAAGATACAATTAACAAAGATTAAATAACAGGATTACAAAAGATGAAAAACAGAAAGTTACAATAAATAATTGCAGAAAATTTATAGAAAATCGTGTGGAGAGCAACCCTTTTTCTAATTGTTGGTACCATGTCTGTCTAAGTAAAAAAGAAGAAATAAACACGCAAATTTGTCTTCGATGGCTTGCGTTACTGAATGTTAATAAAGAATTAATGACATGAGAAATCTGCAAATTGGCAAGCACGAGACAAAGATAACCACGTCATACACGTTTGAGCGATAAGATTTTAACTGACCGGACTTGGGGTCCTCTAGCCTCAATAATTTTAAATGTGCGCAATGCATGTAACAGTGCGCAATGCATGTCGAGGGGGCAGGCTTTTAAACAAGAAAGAAATTCTTAACAGCAAATGATTTTACAGAGTGCCTGTTGAAATGAAGTGCCTTTTTCCATTTTTAAACTAGAGTACCTTGCTCCAGACCTTTAAAGGCGGTGTTTTTGCATCTCAGTCGTACTTTAGTATTACAGCACGAAACTTTGCAAAATAGGACAGTTTGATATATGAAAAAGATAGGATATAGACCCCGAATATACGTAAATTGCCCCCTTTGGGCTATTTTTAGACTAGGGTACACTGCCCCAGACCTTTATAGACGGTATTATCGTATTTAAGTCGTACTTTAGTACAACAGTATGAAATTTTCCAAAGAAGGCCAGTTTGATGCGCTAAAAAAGATTGTATATGGACCCTGACTTAGAAATACCCCCAATAGCTACCTCCATTTTGCTTCGTGTACTAACGCCAACTGCTTCCGTGTTTGCAAACTTTGTGACGTCACGGATAGCGCGCGCTTTGTCACAGTTGAAAACATAAAAATGGGGTATTCAACCCAAATTTTTAGACGGTTCCGCAAGAAAAAAATCACCACAACATATATCATTGAAGACAACAAATTTTGCTTATAAAAAGTGTTTCTTTATCTAAACTTGTCAAATTTCATTTTATAGGCACTTTAAGAATTGAACATATTAACTACAAAATTTTAAAACAAATTTTCTAGATTTGGTGCGGTTCTGTGGATTCTGTATACAGAAGCTATTTCACCATTTTCAGCAAAAACTCCAACTGCTTGCTTGCTCTTACACTGGCTGAGAATTGCAAGCTTAAAAACTTTGCAATCGCTTTTCAAATTCCCTTTGTCAATTAAGAAACTTTCTGAGGTTTTATTGTACATACCTCTTTGCTTTCTCCAAGGGGGCCCTTTGCGGAAAATGTTGTCAAAAGCAATAGCAAAAGTAGAAATTTGCTACTTTTCTGCATTAACACTGGGGCCAGAGCTACAACTCTGTTCCTAACATAGTTCTTTTGAAGTGACTGCTAACAGGAAGCTAGGCCACTTCTCTCTATTCCTTCCCAACCAAGCTGTAATAGCCACAATTTGAATATCAAATATTTTGAAACATTGAAAACTTTGCAAGTAGTCAAGTGTTTAATTTTAGGAACCAAAAAGTGTTCCTTGCATTCCATAAGACGTAGGGGCCTTTCCAAAAGCAATTATCTCACAAAATGATAATTTTGCCGAAAAAATCATTTGAAGTAACTGTAGCCAGAGAAGGCAAGTTGTAGTCATTGCAGCTCCGTGGCTGGTATGTAATTAAAATGATACTTTAAATCTTGAAGGTATTCAAGTGTGAAGGCTATGTTTAGTATATCCTACATAGTAGGAGTATGTAGCAATGAAAAACTCTCAAATAACCGAAAATCAGCTAGAGCAGAGAAACTATTTTATCCACACAATAGCGTTGTGAAGAGGCAGCCGCCTCCCCCCCCCCCATCCCCCCTTCCATTAATCAAAATAATGGTGAGAAATGCGCCAGATCTACAGTAAGCCAATAGCATATTTTGAACTGGTGAAATAGTGAAATAGCATATTTTGAACTTTTTCAGAAAGCCATTAGGGTGTGGTCGCAACTTTTTCCAAGACCCCCTTGTCAATTTTCCTTTGCTTAAAATTCTTAGCTGTTTGGCTACTCTTTTGATACACAACTTAGCATTATCTTTATTGGATTGCAAGAAGAGTCAACTTTTGAAAGTGAAAATAGAAAGCATTTAACTAAGGCATCGTTTTCTTAAGCATCGAACACAAGAAGAAGAAATTTTTCTGGATGCCACATTGAGTGCCATCAGAGAAGTCGAGTCAATAAGTGCAGAAGAAATTGAATTTCAACTCGAGAAGTTCAGTTTTAGGCGAGTGAAGAAACTCTGCAAGCTTGAAAAATTTTAGAAAAATTCTTAGAGAATAATTCCTTGAAAACTAATATGGACCATGGGGATTCTGATGGATCTTTAAAATAAACAAATAAACAAGTGATGACCTCGTAAAAATGTTTTCTATTTATTTTCAGAAGCTTCACCGTATCAGCTGGTATAGCAACCAAATGCCTTGTTCTTGTCCTAGTACCAGCACAGTTTCTGATAGAGAACTGGCGCAATCTATTTGCTTTCATTGCAGGGCCTTAAATAAGAAGTTTTTACAGATCCACATTTCTTTATAAAATTTTGGCGTTGTACTGTGCTACGATTGGCAAAACGGGCGTGGCAAATATAGAAACTGCCACTATAGTGCGAATAGCATATTTAAATTGGGTAAAATCCTAAATGAAAGAAGTATAAGAAGCTGATTCTTTTCAATACATTGATTGGGTTAATAAGAAATTAGAAACATATAGCGATGTCTTAACTTGTGAGCAAATAGTTATCGAAAGGAAACCCTTTGACATGGTTTGTTTGGATCTGTTGCTATCTTTTTGTAGATTAGAACCAGCCTCTCTACATCGGCAGAATTATAGTTTGTTGCGAGAAGGCGTGCCATTGTCTCGCCTGGTAGAATTCCTTTGAGACCAAATCTAAGATCTCTGTGATCTTGGTCATTTATTTCTCGAATTTCAATGCACGGTTGAATGAAATCTTGCTAAATTTTTGCCAGGGGCAAAAGCAGAGTGAGGCCTTCAAAAGTCCTTTTAATTGCATTCAGCCCATCCAATTCTTTGTCATCAAATCTTTTCTTCAAAAAAATTCGATATTATAAAAAAAACCTCGTTACGGATGGCAAATAATCTCTTCTCTCACTTATGTACAAATTGTGCTTGTCTCTTCTTATTCTCTTTTCGTGTAGTTTGAAAGCATGATCTTTCCCCCCATCTTGTTAGTAACGCAGACGCCATGCACCAGCCTATAGAGGGAATGGCTGGAGCCGAGCTAAGGAGCCTGCCCTAGATTTTTTACGACCACACCCTTTGAAACACCGGAAAATATTTGCTTCTTTCATTCCTTATTCTTAAAAATAACGAATCAGAGAAGATTTCAATTACTATAAAAATACAAAACCGAGTTAGATGGAATAAAAATTTATCTTTGATCAAACAAGTTAAAGCATCATGAAAAAGAACAAAAACGGGTTCGCAGTCAAGAAGAACTGCTACTAATAGGTTCGTGAGTGAAAACTTTAAAACATTTTCTAACCTATTATTGGAAAAAAGTAGGGGAGGACTATAGTCCCTGTTATGAAACATTCCCAATTGAATGTTCCTCCCAGCTGCCACCGAGAGGCTTATTATCATTCAACTGCTTTAGCTTTGAGAAGAATCTTTCCAATGCTTCTCCAATTTAAAACACCTTAGCTGAATTGTTTTGCAACTTTTTCTGCAATCTACTGAAATCTACACAAATCCCAAAATACATTACGGGAAGGTAATCATAATCTCAGTCTCGGTCTTTAGGCTCAGTGTTTTCTTAAGTAAGTCATAAAAGCAAACTAACTTGACATGATGTCTTGAAGTTGAAGATGTATACCATCGAGTCCATCTTTCTTCAAAACTGTACGACAATATCATAAAGCGTAATGTACTGAAGCTTCGAGTTTTACAGTTCGTTAATTCTTTTTTACTGTCCATTGCCCATTTCTTATAGCAATTTACTTATAAAAAATGAGTGCAATACATAAGGCTGGGATTGGGCTTTCACTTGGCATTGAAAAAGATATTCCTACTTCTATCTTCTAAAGCGTTTCGATTGGTATTTTATGCTGCACTGTTTACTATAAAAAAGGCACACTCTCAATTTGCAGCTCCGCAAAGTGAGTCAGATCCACGCTTATTTTAGACCCTGTATTTTTGAATACTGAACCTTTCATGAGAAAAATGCAGTGAAAGAGGGAGGTGAGTATTGAAAAGTAGCGTACAAGAAGCTGGTGTGAATACCTCAGGAAGACTATTTAGAGGTTTTGAGTCATATGGATGAAAATGACAATTTGCTTTCCAAAGCTACTCTGCCGTGAAGGTTGAGCAAAATATAATATTATTGCTATACATCCTCTAGTCTAGTCTGTCAAATTCTTAAGAGTTTTGTTTTAATCGATGTTCTCGCCAACATTTTGCGCCTTTTTTATTTAAAAAGCTTCATTTTGATATTTTATTCAACATTCCCAGCACCCTGTTTATAGGAATCCCGCTTCAGGGTCAGGATACTCTGGGTACCAGACTCACTCTATTTAGGTCAGGAGAACATCACAGCCCAAGGTGACGAAGAATTTTAATCTTGAGAAAGTTGAAGGAATCGTATTGTCTTTTGGTTTTCAAACTAAAGTCGTCTGACAAATAATTAGAAAAGAACTGACCACCAAAAATGTTTTTACCGAGTAAAAGCAAATTCACCGAAGCTGTCAACCTCAAGATGAAGAAAATCAGAGGATACAAAAAGTATTTTCTTATCATTTTGTAACAACTGACCACCAAAAAACGTTTTTATCGAATAAAAGCAAAAGATACAGAAGGATGCAAAAAGTTTGGGGAGGTCGCACCCCTA